TAAAGTTATCGACTTAAAATAAATGTATACAAACACGCAACACATCCAACATAAATATATTTGCATATTCACACAATACATATATACATTCTAAAAGCATACACATACAAATTGTTCACTCATACAGATACACATTGCACAAACTACAATTATACATTTATATATATATGTATCACACATACCTATAACTCGATAACTAGCATGCATAAAATCTGTATAAACATATAAGTAATAATATGAATATAAAATTATACTCTATACACAACATCATATAGGTTTTTGATCATATGCAATTGTACACATTCGAATATGATGAATTTACAAGACTCGCGATGGAAAACATGAAAAGTTTGTAAAGTTTGTAAGCAAGTCAATTCAACGAAAAATAAGGTTTCTTAAAAACATGGGGGCCTCTAAATGAGACTAACCTAATCCCTTACCTATAGTCGAATCGAAAGGTGTCGAACTCCTTATTGGCTCAGGTCTGAGCTCTTCTCTGAATATAGTATTATTAAGGTAATTCTCTTGTCTACAAATATGAATCATGGGGATTAATGAGTGACACTTATAGAAATAATTATAATATAAAAAGGGGATCAAGTTTTACTGTAGCGCGATCCTGGTCATTGGAATTGCCACACGCTACCATACCCGTGTCCTTGATTCACCATGCACCGCCGCCAGAGTGTCATAGTCGCCACACGCACTGTTGCCAGAACCAGTACGCGCCACCAAAACCACCCACGCACGGAGTGTCATATTCAAGAAGTACTGGACTACCGGGATCTTTTGAATGCAAACTTCTTTCGTAGGTTTGCCTGATGTAGATAAGATAACAAAGTTAAAACACTATATAATGAGAAAATTACCATGAAAAAATAACATTTAAAATTTTCATTAACTTGTAAATAGTTATTCGTTAGAAGGGTTGAATACAAGTGTTTTGTGAAAATAATCCACGGTGGCGTGGTACACTGCTAACCAGTTTATTTTCAGGATTAAATAAAAATCCCTCGTGCCAATTTTTATCAGGTCCACACTCAATTTTTTACCTAGTATGTCTATGATACAAGTTTTGTATATGACATTTTCTAATAGTGTCTTACTTCCAATGGTAGATATAAACAACATAAAATCAAGTTTTTTCGATGATATATTTAAGTTTTATGTAAAAGTATATGAGACAAATGAATGTGAAGCATCAGTATCAATCAAAATATATGTAAAATGATTACACATAGTGTATGTACCTTGTATCACGTTCAAGTTGACTTCAGCATCCTGCTGAGTTAGGTTGTAAGCTATGTCATGAATAGTAGGTCTGGACTGGTTCTAATTCTGCGAGCACTCTGTTGCATAATTTTGGATACTCCTACATATACGACAAGTATTATTGAGACGATAATAGGATCGGTCCCCATTATATTTGCCACAGTACTAGCAAGTCTTACCACGTCCTGTTACCAGAGCCTAAGTCACTGGGTTAGATCTCTTATTATGTTGAACCGGTGTAGTGGATGTTGATCTGCGATGTAAAATCGAAGGTCTGAAATTCCCCACTGCTGGAGGAAAGATGCGAAGGTTCCTCTCCACTAGATGTGCCTTGGCTAAAACGGCTGAGTAGGTACTAATCTCATATACGTACAGCTGCTGTTTGATCTTAGAGCGAAGACCCCACTCGAAATTCCTTACCTTCCTATCTTCATCAATCATGATCTCAGGGGAATATCAACCTAACTCTAGGAACCTTCAGGCATATTCCGACACAGTCATCTCACCCTGTACTAGGTGTGCAAACTCTATCTATTTCAAATCTCAGAGGTACTTTGGGAGGCACTCTGCATTGAAGACCATCAAAAAATGTTCCCAAGTGACTGAACCGGGTATGGTGGCCTACTTGAGCTGCCACCAGCAACTTGTCTTTCCCACAAACATGTAGGTGACAAATACAACTTTTTGTTCGAGAATCACCTTAAGAGTCGCGAAGGCATTCTCTGTCTCAACTAATGAATACTTGACCTCTTCAAAAGAGGATGCACCTGCAAATGTAGATGAGTTGTCTTTTGTACATTTTAATGTAATCTAGGTCTATCATGGTTGAAACTGGGTACCGTGGAGGAAGAACTGAATTATGCTGTGGAGGGACTAGGTGGCCCTATGATGGTGTCAGATGATACGGTGGAGACACTGGGTTATACTATGGCAGTACTAGATGATGCAGTAGAGGCACCGGATTGTACTGTGGTGGTGTTGGATGGTAGGGTAAAGGAGTAGGATTGTACCAAGGTGGCTTCAAATCTTCCCGCTACAAGGGTGGCTCAAATTGTGACAGCAAGGGAGGGTCAATCAACTCCCTCCTTTCCTCCCAAACCTGCTGGGCAGATGAGTCTCTTCAGCATATCAAAGAATCGGTCATTATCCTCTCGAAGTGAGCCATCCTGGGGTATTCGATTTTGCAGGGATCTTCCTCTCCTCATTTCTTTATACCTATATTTTACAAAAAAATATTAAGTGATAGTTTATATTTGGTGTTTTTATCAGAGTCACGTTTCTCAAAACTATTCATTGCACAAAGACTTAAAGAAAAATAAATTCATAAATTAAATGCGAAAACGATTAATAGAGTTAGAGTTTACATTTCTTATACAATAATTTTGAATGCCCAATAGGGGTAGAGGAATGTTATTTCTAAAAGACAAACGGAAATTAAAAAAATAAAAAGAAAAATGAATAATTAAGAATCTTATGACAACCTTCACTAGTACTTTAAGGGAGTCCGAAGAGTGAATTACTCACAACCCTCTTGCTGATCAGGATGTAGATCTTGATTCTCTTGATTTAAAATAGTTAATAAAATGGTGAAATATACTCGTCAAGTAAGAATATCATACTAATAACAGATACAGAAAATTGAAGATGAGCAAAAAAATCAGAAAAATAACTAATGGAACCCTTACTTTATTTAAATACATTTAAAACTTGAATACATTTGTTTAATACTTACTATAGCGAGTTTTTCAAAAATAACCTATGAAGACTTATATCCATATCACTTTTTACTTTTACGCATAAGAGAACGAGAAACAATAGCTCTCTTTTCTTACTTGTTTACTGGTACCCCATGGGATTTATAGGGGTGTTCTCCTTACTTGTCAACCCAATATCCAATTTTACAATTGATTGGTCGTCTCCATATCCCGTCCAATAATGGAAGCCAAAGATTCCAACGTTTCGATACTCCGCCCGGTATGAAAGTGAAACATATCTCTCAAATATTTATGGTAAGGGATTTTTTAGCCATGTCCGGCTGATGTAATGTTCACGGTAGGGTTCCTTATGTACTAGACCCGTTCGCCCTTTCCCTGGTTAATTTGTAACACCCAAACATTTATTTATTATTTTTATTGAAATTTTATGTGATTTTATCTTATTTTAAAAATTTATTCATAAGGGTGTAATTTAATTTAATTGAAATAAAAATAATAATAATGATAAAAATAGTTAAAATTATTTTTTTGATTTAATTGAAAATGATTTTGGGAAAAATGGGTGAAATTTTATATTGTGGGGGTATTTTTGAAAAAAAAATCGAAAATCGAGGGTCAAAACGCAATTTAGAAAAGTTGTGCCACGTCAGCAGCCCCAGCCAACCAGGACATGTCGCGTGGCAGGAACGCTGACGCGGGAAGCCACGCGGGACGGGGCCACGTGGGCAATCCGCGTGCGCGCGATCGGACGGCCCAGATCTGTTCCCGCGTGCACGGACGGCCTAGATCAAAAGCGCACACGGACGACCCAGATTGAATCATGCACGAACGGCCCAAATTCATTCCCAATTTAATCGCGATCGGACGATCCATATTAAATCGTGATGGATGGCTGAGATTAAAAGAGGAAGGTTATAAATAACTTCACCCACACCAAACCCAGACCCTAGCCGCCAGAACCCTCGTTGGAGAAGATGACCCAGCCACCGGAGGAACCGGCCGCCGCCACCCGCCGCCGCACCGGAGGATTTTTCGACCGCCAAATGAGGTAAAATTTCTCCCATTGGCTTGTTTTTCGATGTTGAATCTACCTGTGGCCAAATTGGAGCCAAACCACCAGCTAATCGGTCGAAAAACACCGCTGAAGCCCAGCGGCGCCGCTGCTGCTTCCCTTAATTTTTGCCTCCGATGAGGCCCTTCCCAGTTCCCGTTCGATGTAATTTTTACACCACTGTGATCACCGTCTTTTTCTCTACAGGTTGACCTGAGCAAAACATCGAATCGTGACTCGCACCGGAGAAGTCGCCGCACCTGAGATCTCCACTACCGGTAAGTCTCGATTTTTCGTAATTTTTTGGCCCATCGAGGGCCATAGGGTTGTTTTATCGCAGAAACCAATGCAAGTTTGGCCGAATTTGACTGAAAATGACTTAAAACAGCCAACCCAAGATGGATCGCCGCCGGCGCCGTTGCCGGAGCACAGCAGAACCGCCGTGCCGGAGTTCTGAAAATGGCCGAGTAGGCCTTGGAATTATTTTTAAGTTTTTTTTGGGATATGTGTAGGTACCGAAAATGTATTTCGGTTCCCGGAGAAAAATATTCAGGGAATTTAGGGACAACTTGTAGGTGCAGTGAGAACCTGATTTCAGACTCCGAAACAAGTAAGGATTTCTCACCCTATTTTCTATCACGGTATTAAAGCTCAATAAATAATAAAACGACATTTCATGAATTAATACATGTGTATAATTAATTAAGGTTACTAATGGAGCCCGAATCTGATGTATTTTTTGGTCAGTTGTTGTTTGATCTATTTTACAGTTTTAAATGCAGTATGGTATTTGATGTGTTTATTCTATGATTTCGTATGCATGAATCACGGTTTTGTTTATTATGGTTTGAATTATTGTGAACCCGTTGTTATCTTATTTAGTGTTCATTACTAGTTTACGTTTTTATGTTTGATTGGATAATTGAGATTATGAAAAATAGAAAAAGGTATGTGAATTGATAAATGGATGATATCGACAGCCTAAGTAGATATCATGAGATATGGTGGACGGACCGGATCTGTAGGGAACCCTACCGGGAACGTGGTCTCTCATATCGGACGAGGTATGGAGACCTTATGTGTTTTGGCGCCCATACTAGACGGGGTATGGGAACGGCCTGTTTCACCCTCATACCGGACGGAATATTGAGGTTTATGATTTTGGCGCCCATACGGGCGAGGTATAGGAACGGTCCTGGAATCAAGTTATTAATGTGAATGGTTCATGTGTAGCAGAGACCCTCTATGGATCCCCAAGGATACTAGTAGACTGATAAAAGAGGAAAATTGTTGTATGATGATTGAAAAATGAGAGTTTGATATGTGTTATGTTACAAAGTGTGCATGATTTTATGATGTTTATGATGTTATTGTGTTTCATAAGTTGTCTTTCATGAATCTCACCGAGGTAAGTGGACAGTAAATATTTTTATTATTGATAAATGAGTTTGCTATAATTTATGCTTCATTGATCGTTTTTGTTTTCTACAAACCTTTACTCCTATGGTAGTGAGATAGTGTGATGTCTTTACTGGGCTAGTGTAGCTCATTCCTTACTTAACCATTTCAGATTAGGAGGACTTGGTTCCCGAGTCCGTCCCGCAGAGACAGCGAGTAGATG